TCGAAATAAGTAAACATATATATTTTCTAAAGACAAAATCCTTTTCTTATTAAAAGAAAATCCGTGGACCAAATGAAAACAAAGCTTTTTCGCAGCAAAATAAATAAATAAATAAATAAATAAATAAATAAATAAATAAAACTTAATCATATATCCAACAGCTGGCTAATCTATGGGATATAATTATTAGCATTTTAATGTCTCTTAGATTTAATTGTGGGGTTTTTTTGTTGTTGTTGTTTTTTTATAGTATAAAGTCTGGATAAAGCCTGGAGCAGAGCAGTCCTTCCTGTATGGGAACCATGTGTTGAAATCTGGACTGGGTCGAATCACTGAAAATACCTGTCAGTACCAGGGAGTGGTGGTCTACTCCATGGCAGACGTCCCTTTGGTGAGTAGAGATGGTAGCTGTTAGAAAAATCAAGTATCTTTTTTAATTCAGAAGGCTGTATTTTCCATCTGTGCGCTTCAGAGACTAAATTCTCAGCACCTTTTGAATTTCTCAAAGATAAGAACTGCATTTTTTTCATCTTCGTTATTTCCACCCCTCGATGCATGCTTGTTGAATGACTTGAGTGAATCAGTGTCTCTTCTTTTGAATCCCAGGGTTTTGGGGTGGCAGCAAAGTCTACACAAGACTGCAGGAAAGTAGACCCCATGGCGATTGTGGTATTTCATCAAGCAGACATTGGGGAATATGTGCGGCATGAAGAGACATTGACTTAAAACGAAATCATCGCAAGGACTTGTGGCTGTGTGGAAGGGCCTAGCTTTGTTTCCCGTGTCTGTGTAGGCTCCATCATCATGTTGAATTTTGTCAACACTGACTTCTTCAGGGACTTCTTAGTTTAATATTCTCTCTATTGCGATTGAATGCAGGCTGGATTCTTAAGTGAAGATGGTTCAAAAATGGCATTTCAGATCTTTGTGTTTGTGACTAAACAGAATGCTGTGTTTTATATTTGAATCAGAAGGCTTCTTGTCTTGAGTAACAGGTTCTAAGTCGTTGGAACTGAGGACAGGAATAGCTAGCTTTTTGTTATCTGTGATAACGCCGTTTTCAAACTCACGATAAGAACACAAAGGATTTTTTCATTGTTTATATGATGAAAGTTAGATATTGCCATATGAGAATGGTAGGCCATGTGTTGGATTTTATGAATGAAATTTGGATAAAATAATAAGAGCAATTTGTCCTGCCAGTTTTCTATATAGTGGGTGTTGTGTGGTATGGAAGAAAATCTTGGATCTAAACCCCAGTTCTGACACCTACCAGCTGTATGGCCTTAGAAGTCATTAAACTTTAATAAGCTTAATTTTCTTCTTCAAAAAAAAACAGCTTTAACCTAAAGATGGTTTTTCGGATTAGAAATCAACGTTTGTAAAGCACTTAAGCACAGTGCCTGGCAAATGATAGGTGTTAAATAAATGGTAAAATTATTTTTATATTGCATATGCTGGGTATTTCTATTACTAAGGATAGGATCTTATGAATACAGCTTGATTATATATCTTCGTTCTTGATCTTTCTTTTTCTGAGATGGTATGATCCCAGGCTAATGGTATTTTCATCACCTTGATTTCTTAAAATGTGATTTCCCATGGGAGCCTTTACTTAACTGGACTAGACAGCACTAATCAGAGACCTTGATATAATTCAGCTCTTCCCATGCTTCCTAAAATTATTTTTGGAATTATTAAAATGTTTTTTTTAATGAAAAAATTCCACTAAGTTTTTTAAACTGCCTGTTTTAAATCTACTGCTTTTCTTTTTTTCCTGCTTATTTTAAATTCCAAAGGTGACATCTCTAAAAATAAAACATTTTTCAACTACAAAAAAGCAGTCTGCCAATTCCTGTTTTTGTATGCAACGCATAAAACTGAGATGTGTATGTTTTTGTCCCATTTTTTTCAACTCTTCTCCCTCCCATGGTTCTCAACCCTCTAGATAATCTTAGAGTTAAGGGGCTGCTGTATGATGAACAGTATTTTGATGGTAGCATCACTTAGTGCACACTTTTGTAATAGCCGATATCAATACTTAAACATTTTTATTATTTTATTGCCATTTTGAGGCAATAGGGAAGGAGAGCAATAGACTAAAATGTTCTAACAAGTTGATTTTTTTTCCAATAATTTTACAAAGCTCATACCCAGAAGAAAAGGACTAGGGTGCTGTAGTCATTTTGGCTTAGCATCTTGGCTTTTTTGTGTCTGTAACCTTTGGGACATTAAAGAGACGCTTCAAGAAATACAGCTGCAGGATTCCAGAAAGAACAATAACAAAGCTCTGGGCTGTTGACCACCAGTTCACGTAGTTATAGTTTGATTGGAGAAGGAAAAAGTCAGCCGTTTTCCTCATGCGGGCAAAGTTGTAATACCGCCACATGTGAAAGATATTGTTCTGCATCTTCTGTGTACTCTCCTGTGGGACAGAAAATGAAATTAAAAGAGTCCTCCCTACCACCCATCTAGTCTCACCCCATTGCTCAGAAGCACTAACCTAAGTTATCTGGAGGCTGAGTAACTTACTTCTATAATTTTATGATACATACAATAAGTTGGTTATTGTAGTTGTTAGTAAAGCTGGTTTTGCTCTCTATGAAAACATCGCCTGGACTTTGGTTTAAAAAACAAAATTTCTATAATGAAAAATTTCAGTTCTAAAACTCTTTCAGAGTATCTCTAGATTTAGACATGTACTCAGTACATCATTGCCCCTCTGGCTGATGTTTTCTGTTTTTTGTAGATGGTAGAAGATGGGGGCTGGCCTGCAAACTTTTTTTGTTTTTGTTTTTGTTTTTTTAGTATTTATTTATCTAAGTAATTTCTATACTCAACGTGGGGCTGAAACCCATGAACCTGAAATCAAGAGTTACATTCTGTACTGACTCACCCAGCCAGGTGTCCCTGCAAACTTTTTATTAAAGGACTAGATAGTAAATCGTTTAGGCTTTGTAGGTGATACAGTCTCTGTTGCAGCTACTGAACTCTGCTCTTGTTAGCATAAAAGCAGCCATATATAATTGTCAAACGAGCATAGTTGTGTTTCAGTGAAACTTCATTTACAGAAATACGCAGTGGGATTTTGTACGTTGAAAAATACTATGAAGAAAGTGAAAAGACATCCCACAGAATAGGGAAAATGTTTACAAATCATTTATCTGATAAGGAACTTCTATCCAGAATATATAAAAAACTTAAAACTCAACCATAAAAAGACAGCCCTATTTTATTTTATTTCATTATTTTGTGTGTGTGTGTGTGTGATGTGGACTTTTAATTCATACTTCCCCTCTCTCCCAACTGTGGCAGCTGAATAGGGAATGATCCCTCAGAACTCCCTGAGAAGACTAAAAAAGGGGGTTTGCATTCTTCTGGGTAGATAGGGGATGCGGTCAGAGTTGTCTGTAATAAAGCTAGCTACCTTCATCCTTTTCAAAAAGCATCAAGGAGTTCCTGGAATCTGAGTCAAGAATCCCTGCTCCTTGGCCAGACCCTGTGCTCTGGCCTGGGTTTCAGGCCAGCCCGGGAAAGACAGCCCAATTTTAATATGGGAAAATGATTTGAATAGACAGTTCTCCACAGAAGGTATACAGAAGGCCAAAAAACATGGAAAGATGCTCAATGTCATTAGTCATTAGGGACACATACCTCAAAACCACAAGATACAACTTCACACCCACTAGAGTAGCTTTAGTAAAAGACACAGTAACCTGTTGGCAGGGATGTGGAAAAATTGAAACCCTCAGATACTGCTGGTGGGAGTGTAAGATGGTTTAGGCACTGGAAAACAGTTACTCATAAAGTTAAACAGAGTTACCATATGACCCACCAAAGTATCCTACTAACTGGTATACAGAAATGAAAACATGTTCACACAAAAACTTCATGCAAATGTTCATAGCCGCATTATTCCTGATAGCCAAAAAGTGGATGACCCAAATGTCATCAGCTGATGAGTGGATAAGAAACTGATACATTCATAAAAGAGGATATTCATCCATAAAAGGGAATGAAGTATTAATACCTGCTATGATGTGGATGACTCTTGAAAACATGCTAAGTGAAAGAAGTCAGAAACAAAAGGCCACATTGTATGATTACACTCAGGTGAAGTGCACAGAACAGGCAAATTTAAAGAAACAGTTGATTAGTGAGTGATTGCCCAGGACTGGGGAGTGGGGTATGGGGAAGGAGGAGTGAGTAATGGGTATGGAGTTCTTTTTAGGCTGATGAAACTTGTGAAATTAGATGCTGGCAATAGTTGCATGACCTTGGGAATGTACTAAAAACCACAGAATTGTACATTTTAAAATAGTGAATTCTATCTAAAATTTAAAAAAACGGGCGTCCAGGTGGCTTAGTCGGTTAAGCATCCAACTCTTGGTTTTGGCTCAGGTCATGATCTTAGGGGTTCATGGGATCAAGCCCTGTGTCAGGCTCTGTGCTGACAACGCAGAACCTGGTTGGGATTCTCTCTCTCCCTCTCAAAATAAATAAATAAACTTTAAAAAAAGAAACAGGCACTGGGCCAGATTTGGCCTGTGCACCATATTTTGTCAACTCCTGTTATAAACGAGTGAGGAATTTTAAGAGCTGTAAGTTATAAAAATTGAAGGTTGCAAATCTTCTTGCCTGTTTGGTTTCTCCCCAAATGAGCCCTCAGATGATATTACTGATTTTCAAGGATGTTTCCACAGATGTGTCTCTCACAAAACAGTTACCTCAATTGCATCCAGAGTATCATTCAGTTGTTTTCTTTCATTCTTCTGTTTGTGGTCCATCTCAGGCCCCTCATAGAAAACTCCAAAATTGAGGTAAACTTGCACAGAACCAAAGTGATTTTGCTGATTTTTTAGACAAAGCTGATAAAAACCTGTAGGAATCCCTAGATCATTACCAAGTCTTGGCCTCCACCCTTTGTTGAACTCCCACCCTCTAGATTTCCCTGGAGATACCTGTTTACCAGTGTTAAATGTGCTACTTAATACCTTCTTCTCACTTAGGAAGTACAAAGATAGAATGTTTAAGGTGGAAGGCCTTACGTGATCTTCCATGAAACTTACTTTACTGAGTATCAGTTATGATATTGTTTTGCCAAATATTAGTAACTGAGTTCTATAAAATAGTAAATTTATAAAAAGTAAATTTATTAAGTAAATTGGTTCTATACTAGATAGGAAACCATGTTTTCTCCTTTGTCACCTGTATTTCCCACATCTCTTACTGAAGTTCTTCTCAACAAAATGAGTTGAAATTAAGAGCATGCTATTTGCCTTCTTGTACACCATTACTGGGGGATACCGTCTTGAACTTGAAACTAGAGAAAAAATTGATGTGAATGAAAGAAGCTATCCTGCGGATGGAGTAACTTCTGCAAGGTGATTTGTACAGGAGCTAACGGTTTGGGGTATGAACTAGTATGAACTAGTGCTGGTTCTCAACTGGGATCCTCCCTTTGTGTGTGCCTCCCTTTGTGTGTGTGTGTGTGGGAGCAGGGAAGAGCGGGATTAGAAGGGCGTGGCAGTTATTTGATTGTTCTAATGGTTAGAAGGCACTGCTGGGGCCAAAGATGCCAGATACCATATGGTGCTGAAAATCCTGTGCTACACAGTGAAGGATTGTTTTATGCCCCGATTCAGAAACACTGTTTTTTGGTTTTTTTTTCTGTACACCTGGCTAGTAGAGAGGGCAATTAAAACCGACCAGTGTTGTGCAGGGTGGAGATAGGCTCAATCTGGCTGTAGGAAATTTCTGATGACTGGGGAAGTGTTTCGTTGTTTGTGGATATTTTCATGGCCATGCATTTCCTTTTGTTCTGAGTCTGCTATTTCATAACTGGCTCAAGTATTCTGGTGACTGGAAAGGAATGTTATCATGTAATAAATTTATTAGTTGGAATTCTGTATTATAAATGGGTCTCTCTTTTGGTCACTTTCCCATAACCTCATCAGTTGGAGATGATGAGATAAAATTGAGCTTCTGGACCCTGGAGTTACAGTAATTAGTCACCTGGAGACCCTGCCCTGAATCTGACAGCAACTGCCTGCTGCTTAATGTCCTCCACTACAGGCAGTCTCCGGGAAAGGTTTGATATTGGTGTTGAAGGCTGGTTTTTGGTGTTGAAAACTGGGTTCTTCCCCCTACTGTTTGATTATCCCTGTGTGAAAAAGCCAGGGCTAATATATCTCAGGTTGTTCTAATTTCAGGGGCGCCTGGGTGGCTTGGTTGAGCATCCAGATCTTGATTTTGGCTCAGGTCATGATCTCACGGGTTCGTGAGATCAAGCTCCACGTCAGGCTCCACACTGATTGTGTGGAGCCTACTTGGTATATTCTCTCTCTCTCTCTCTCTCTCTCTCTCGGGTCCTTCCCCCACCCCTCCTCCACTAACGTGCTCACTGGCCCTCTCTCAAACTGAAAAAAGTAATTTCAGTACTTCTCATTATTTACCCAATTTCAAAGAAATTTAGGATTATTACAGTAGCTGTGGTGATAAAAACAGACCTGTCTCTTTGATAGAGAAGTTAATCTGGCCCCGAACATCCTGAGAGGAGTCTATGAGGAAACCCTGTGGGGTATGTGCTGTGGCAGCAACATGCCGGTCATGTGACATTCCCAGTGTCCGCTGCACCTGCCAAGACACATTAAAGAGGGAGAAAAGCCCCTGCTACATCACCAAGAGCTAGCTAAATAGTAAGATTGACATTCATGATCATCAGCACAGTGGTTCTCTGGGAATCTGGATGGAGACAACAGTGCTGTTGGGGAGATAGGAAGGGACAGCAATGCTGAACATTCTGCTGTGTTAGAAACAGTATTGCAGGACAAAGAATTGCCCAAAATGCCAATAGCACTCCAGTTAAGAAGACATGTCTCAGACCATACATCGTGTATCAACTGATGTGTATGTTTTGGCTATGGAGTTCTTGACTGAACTTGCTTGGTTTTAACTTCCCTAGTGTCCTTGATTTGGGCTTATTTGCTGCTTGACAGCAAATAAATAAGGCATTCAGTAGGAACTTGTCCCCAAGCTGTGTCTTGATAAGCCCAGGCTACAGTGAGCTGATTAGTAGCTACTGTTCCAAATTCAGAGATAAGAAAAGGCTCTGATAAGCTAACTTAAAATAAGCTTTGAGTTACAGTGGAATGGAATGAGATCAATAGAGTCTATTACTATGTAAATAAAATTTAGAAAGTTAACAGGTTTCTAAGATAAAGAACAAGGAAATGAACAGCTTCTGACTTTACTATTGAGTTCACCATCCTTGGGCAGTGTGGTGTAAGACCACAGGATGGATAAATGTAGTTGGCCTGTGAACAGGCAACTTTTAAACATTTACCTTCCTAAAGAAACAAGACTGGCCAAATGGAGCAATCTTGAGTCAGTGATTCTTTAATTTGCCAGAATTACCCCTAAAAGCAAGAGAATAAATGTTGGCTCCCCTAGCCCCGTAAAGAAGCATCTTTCTTTGAAATCTCAGGGTCTGTTGCCAAAGTTCATGTAGGTTTTCATTTTACTTTGTACCATATCCATATTATTTTAATGTTTTAAAAAATGGATTCTCTCCCCTCTCATCTCCAAATCTGAGTTAATATATGATTACCTCTCTGGGAAGAGGCAGCTTGTTTGTCCCATGGCTTTGAGCACACCTCCATTGCCCCCATTTTGATTAGTCAATCCATATGTTTTAGCGATTGTTCATTCACGGAGAGTTTCCATCTTAGCTGCAGGTCCATTTCATGAACAGGTAGGGAATCACAGCATAAGAAAGACAACCAGAATCTTGTATTCGAGTAAAACCTGACCCACTTAACAAAAGGAAACAAACAAACAAAAAAAACCAAGTCCCCAGTATGGCTAGAGGAGCCCTTGTACTTACCTCATAACTGAAATAGAAGTATCCAGTCTGGTAGGCAAATTGCCAGAAGCACTCTGTGCCTCCTGGAGGGATCATGACGGCAAAGTCAGATCGATCTGCTCCATGGAAGAGGGGCTGGTCCCCAGAACCAATAAAGGGTTCTGTCTTCAGGCTCCTAGCAGAGGTCACTAGGTTCAGAACCACCAGTCCAGCTCCAGAGAGCAAAGGGAACATGCTGCTTTCTGAAGATTCCTCTGTAGGTGAACTGTTTGCACAAGCCCAGTGAAACCAAGCAGTTTAAGACACCTGCTAGGGTAATCATTAACTCGCAAGTCACACTTAGGCCAGTTTCAGGGCCACACATGGATATTCCATAATAGAAGTGGCGTGATACCTCCATGCTTGGCTCACAGGAAGAGGTTTTGTTTTTACCTCAAAAACTCACTGCAGGGTGCCTGGGTGGCTCAGTCAATTGAGCATCTGACTTCGGCTCAGGTTATGATCTCACTGTTCATGGGGTAGAGCCCTGAGTTGGGCTCTGTGCTGACAGCTCAGAGCCTGGAGCCTGCTTCAGATTCTGTCTCCCTCTCTCTCTATCTGCTCCTCCCCTGCTTGCACTCTCTCTCTCTCCCTCTCCCTCTCTCAAAAATAAGCAAACAGTAAAAAAACAAAAACAAAAATACCTCAGTGGCTTACCAAACCTACTTCATGGCTGCTAGATAGAATCTGCTACTTCAGAAGAGGTATTTCTCTCCTTCCTTTGGGCTATGGTTTTTCATACCTGCTTCTTGGGGGTAAACATTTGGTAAGTTTATTTACAACCATCTGAATATACTGACAAGGTTTGGCCGGGGAGATTCTTTCTCTTATTCATATCTAATTGCTAAATGATACCTATTGCCCCAGTAGGACATATGGGGCAGATCTGTTTCAACAGAATTTGTTCTGTCCAATGCTAGAGGTTAGAGAGCAAAAAGCACAGCATGGGAGTATGTGCAAAAATTTTATGGATAAAGTGAGCGAGAGGCAGTGGTGAAACCCCTCCACTGATAATCCTTGTTCTTTCTCCCACCTGACTGATACATTCATCTAAAACTATACAAAAACCCCTTAAAAGACTATTTCTATTATTCAAACTCTTGATCTTTCTTCTTTTATTTATCACTTCTTCACTCACAGCGGGGAAAAAGGCTCACTGATCCACTGACCTCATGGCTGACATTGAGCTAAGAGATTTACTTGCTTATTTATTCTCTCAACAGCCCTGCAAGCAAGAGAGGTACCATTACCTACTGACTTATAGATAAGGAAATGTTCATTCAGAGATTGAGGTGGCCGGCTCACTGTCCCAGAAGCGTGGCTGGTGCAGCTGGGGCTTTGAGTGAGCCTCACCCTCTTACCTACCAGGACAGTGTTTCTGGACAGTCTTTGAGTGCTGACAGTGTATAATGTTTTTATTTCAGCCATAATCTTAAAAAAAAAAAAAAACAAAAAAGCATTAGCACCTTCTAACCAAGTATTGCTTCAGAATTCAGTGCATTGACTCCAAATGGTAATATCTTAAGTGTCACAAAGCTAATAGGCAAAGAGCAGACTTCATAATAGTGTTCAGGTCTAGCAAAGGCTACGTGACATCACCATACCCTTCAGGCACAGTGGTTTGCAGCAGTCTTGCTAAGGTGAAGATGCGAGAGATTGGGATCACTTCTCAGTGCACGGTGGCACAGGCACCCCCACCCACATCCTGTCACGGCTATAGTCCCAACACTACCCACGTCATGAGCAGTGACTTAAATTCAGCAAAAGAATCATCAGTTCACAGTACATTTCATAGTTCTATGGAAGCTGTAGGCATAGTTTTATGTGTGTACCCATTTCAATAATACTATCATAAAAACACCTCTGAAGTTACATTAAAAAGTGTTAATGGACTTATGCATTTCTCAGTTTGAGAAACACTGATAAGGATACTCTGCTTCCCTGAATATATCCCACATCTCTCTTCTACCTAGAGAGCAGAGTCTAATAATGTGAGAGTGGAGGAGAGAAAAGCTTCTGGATCCTAACCCTGTTTAGGGGAACCAGATCAATGGGGATTTGGGTCTCACCTTTTCACTGTAGCTTCATTTGGAATTAACTGATAGGAAAACAGGATACTAAATTCCAAAACATGTAAATATATAAAAAAGCTCTATAAAGTTTCTAACTTGTAGGTACAGGATGAATTTTAAAACTGTAGCATTTCTTTACAACTTGCCTTTCACTCAAATGTGAGAAAGGGGGAATTTTGTCCCAAAATATGTTATATGAAGAAATGGGCAAATTAAAAGGAAGTTTCCACATCTCTGTTGGACATGGCTTTCAAGGATTGAAACACCCAATACAAGCTGACATCAGCTTCTTAACACAGTCAACATGGTTCAGCAAAGATTGTTCAACATGGTGCTACCTCCATCTGCTCATACGTGCTGTGCTAGAATTAAATAGCTACTTAACATTTGAGAGAAGCAAGACTTTAATGAAGAGTGCTACAAGTTATGGACAATAATTAGTTCTCATATTTTAAAAAAAGATTACAGAAAACACTTTACTGATTTTTTTTTTTTTTTTTTTTTTTTTTTTTTTTTTTTTTTTGCCAAAAAGACAGTCTTTAAGGATGTCCGAGAGAGACAGCAAGCACAACACGGTACAAAAGGAGAAGGGAATGTTGAGTTTAGAGCAAGACACTAACACAGCACAATTAGGGAATCAGGCGGAAGCAACCATTTCACAAAGAATGTAATTAGGCATTTATATTCAGTCAAGATTTTTTTAAGCTTTAAAAGTCCAGCATAAGGAAGAGACTTGGGCAGGGGGACTGGGGTAAAGGGCTACGCTTATCTACAATCACCATTTTACCAAAAAACACACTGGTTCAACCACAGGAGAGGTGGAGGTTAAACCTGCCTGCCTAGCCCAGCAAATACTGGGAGCAAATGCCAAGGCTGTCAGGTCTAGATGTTGATGTTACAACTGGCTAAAGAATTTTTAAAGAGACACTGATTCCACCAGGACTGGTCTCTCATCAACCTGGGTTCCTGACAGATGAAGGTCCTTTGCATTTGCATCAGAAGGCCAAAGCTTTACCTGGAACAAGTTCACTCCAAATAATGCTCACGTTGCTGGTTTTAACAGGTCAGAGTCATGAGTGGCTCCTAACAGACTCCACCATTTCCTAGGAGAAGGTTCTACTGATTACCAGGGATTTAAATTCAAGCAAACCACTAAAGAAGGGAAATACTAATGATATTCTGGCACTATACAAGCTATGTGCCTGTCATCTCTGCCAAGGACATGGGGTAGACTTGGCTTTGTTTCTCAGCTCCATGATCTTCAACAGCAATGAAGTAGAACTGGTACCTCCCCCATGTTGGAGGAGGATGCCCAAAATTCTCATCCCAGCCCAGCTTCTGAAAGAAAAACAGACTATCAGGGGCTATTATTAGGAACCATGCTCCTGTGAATTCTGTGGAAATGAAAGCCTGTTTCAGTTCATGCCAAGTTTTTTCATGGTCCGCCAGCGATCCTTAATCATCACAGCTGTTCGGTTAACAAATGGATAATTTTTGGAAATGGCAGCCCAGTTTCCTTCTCCATATTTCTGCACTCCAGCCTTGACCCACTCGCTTTCTTCTACAGTCCACTTCTGCAAAAGAAAACCAAAATATTTATCACAACCTGTCTCTCCACTTATTCACATTTTCCTACAATGAAGAGGTAAACTCACGAATCGTAGGACAGTAATCTGAACCCAAAAGAAGGGTTTATGTTTTTAAAACATGATATAGATAAGCTAACACTGTGGATTTAGACATTTAATAATTTTCCGTGTCCTGCCATTTCATCGTCAACTAATAATCACTTCTGCATTAAAAACTTCAAACGTACGTTGTTCATAGTCAGGAAAATGTATCAGAGGTTTCTGTCCTCCTAGGTTTTTCTTCCAGAGAATTTCTTCCTTTAACTTACTTTGGATTATCTGGAATAATCCTGGATTATTTGGAAAATTGAAAGACCTTCTTCCAGGTGCATGGAAACATCCTATGTCCTATGCATGTTCCAGGTGCATGGAAATACACCGTATGCCGTGAGGTGCGCGTACTTATTTTACCTTTGTTCTATCCACACGACCAGAAAAGGTCAGAAAATGTCATTTTAAATTACCTGCTTTCTTGTTATACTGGTTGCACTCTCTTCATCTGGTGCTGCTGGAAAACATTAAAAGTAGATTCATTTCAGAGTTCACCTTTCTCTTGTGAACAAACCACAAGAAAAAGACATCAAATGTTCTTAAAAGGAAAACTTAATTGGAATTTCCCAACATTGAGAGAAGAAAGGCTGTCACTAAATGGTAATTTGTTTTTGTCCTTTGTTTACAAGATAACAGTCATTTCAGCCAATGAGAATCTCTACAGAGCAAATAGTTTACAGACAGACATTCAATAAAGACATTCAATTAAGGTTAATGATGGATTTCAGGCTTTTTAGTAAAACCTACATGACTCTTAAAATTACTGAGTGACTGTGTTAAAACTCTAATATATGCACATATACAAGTGACCCTTAAAGAATGTGGGGGGTTAGGAGCCCCAACCCACAATCTAGTCAAAAATCTACACTGACTCCCCAAAAACTTAATAGCCTACTGTTGACCAGAAGCATTACCAATAACATAAACAGTCAATTAACACATATTTTGCATGTTATATGTAATATATTCTATACTCTTACAGTAAGCTGGAGAAAAGGTTAAGAAAGTAAGAAATAAAATCCTAAGAAAAATACATTTACAGTATTATACTGTATTTATTTTTTAAAAATGCATGTCAGTGGACCCGTGCAGTTCAAACCTGTGTTCAAGTGAAGTGTATTATAATGTTGTGTGTATAATTTCTGCTTTACAACCCCTTGCTAACCACTGCTTTGAAATAACAATTTTGCTGTCGTAGGCCAGAATTTTCAAATCCCTGATCATTTTATGTACGTAAAGTGTGGTTCAAGATCTTAACAAGAACAGGATGGTAAGCCTTAAACAAGAACAGGATAGTAATTATTGTTCCCCACTCAGAGAGACCATGTGAGATCTGCTCAAGTTCCACATTCTCACCATAAGGAAAGACATCAGGCCTCAAAAAAATGCACAAAGATAATTTTTCGAAAGGCCAGAGGGCTATAGGAGGGTATACTAGTATAAAAGGCATGCCATTGCAAGCGAACAAGAGCCATTAAAAAGCTGCAAGAAAAGGCAAAATTGCACACAGGTGAAACTTGCTAGAGGTCTGCTGCAGCAGATGCGACTGTTCCAGCAGTGCTTCCTACAGCAGTGGTGGTGGTTCAGGAAAAGGGATATTTACAGACAGAGTCAGGTTATTTATTTTTAAATCGTGGAAGTACTTCATACTGTAGTGGAAGCAGATTTTAAAGCTGATAAATCTGGACTGCACTGGAAGTAGATGTTTTCTGGAACTTTTAGATCCTGTTGTTTTTAAATATTTTATGCCACTTTTATTGATTTTCTGTTACTTCCTTTTCCTGTGTGATCTTGATCTTGCCAACTATGATTGTGCCAATTAAGGTACTTTTTAAGGATAAAATTGGGATTGGCAGGTTTACTGTTGTTGCTGTGTTACCAAAGTCTTTAGAATCTCCAAGATTATGTTTTAGTACTTAAGATATTTCCATTAGAATGCAAAGTATGTGGTGGGAGATATTCTGATGCAAATGCTACAAGTTTTAATATTAATTATGGAAAAGTAAAGTTTCTTATTTTGGAAAAAAATAAACTGGTAAGAGATTTTTTTTACTTAAACAAGAAATGCAGGGAATGGCCACTTCTACCTTTAATTAAAAGACTTTAGGAAGAACATCAGCTAGAATTAAATATAGGATTTATTAAAACAAAACCATGGGGTGCCCGGCTGGCTCAGTCGGTGGAGCATGCTACTGTTGTTGATCTCAGGGCTGTGAGTTCAAGCCCTGAGAACTTGGGTGTGAAGCCTACTAAAAAAAAATTTTTTTTTAATTAAAAATTCTGTTTAAAGTGCTGCTTTGACAGTCTCCATCGTTTAATGGGAAAGGACATAAAACTGACTCCTCGTGAATCACAATGAGGAACTTACTAGACTTATACAAGTTTGGAGACAAGCAGTTTCTGGAACATTAATGTGATAGTAACAGGCATCTATACTTCAGCTACTGTCAAGGAGACCAAGGAGAATGTCCTAGCTTACCCTGAACTTGAAACAGTTCATCCTCTTCCACCCATGTCTCTTTTTCTTCAACCCCATTAGAGCTGTTCCATTTGCCTTTGGGTACTCTGAGGGGAGATCAACAAGAGGACAAGATGTAAAACAGATTCATCAGGGTCATCCCATATTTTACCCTCAGCTCTCTCATGGCCTGTACTCCTCCCTGTTCTGTGACCACAGTGGAGATCCATTTACAATTCCCAAAGTCCAGGGGCGCCTGGGTGGCGCAGTCGGTTAAGCGTCCGACTTCAGCCAGGTCACGATCTCGCGGTTCGTGAGTTCGAGCCCCGCATCGGGCTCTGGGCTGATGGCTCAGAGCCTGGAGCCTGTTTCCGATTCTGTGTCTCCCTCTCTCTCTGCCCCTCCCCCGTTCATGCTCTGTCTCTCTCTGTCCCAAAGAAAATAAATAAACGTTGAAAAAAAAAAATAAAAAAAAACAATTCCCAAAGTCCTGACCTGGCCAGGCGTCTCCATGTCATTGTCCCACAGGCTGCAGGATCATCCCTCAAACTCAGCAATGAATGAATACACCACTGTCCCCCTCAAAATCTGTTCATTTTCCTGTTCTTGGTTGGTTGGTTTGGATTCTCATTTTAAAGGTCTCACTCAGCATTCTTCTAACCCAGAACATGCAGACTGCTCCCAGTTCTTCAAAGACATGCCCTGGTCCTATCTCTGAACTGCATTCTTTTCCCTCTCCATTCCCCTTGTCCAAGCACTGGTACCTTTCACCAGTATCACTAGTCTCTTAACTGGAGTCTCTGTCCTCAGCCCCTTCCGCTTCCAAAACCACCTGAACATCAGTCTGAAATTACCTCATCTCTGTTCCATGATGGCTTCTCCCTGCCTCAACATTGAAGCCTGTATGGGTGAATGAAGATCCTCCAGTCTGGCTCCAGACAATTTCTTGCTACCAAAGCCTCCTCTCTCCACCCACACCGGCACAAACGGCAGCCATGCCTTCTGCTCTTTTCCTTCTATAAGCTCTGTTCTTTCCTCTCTATGCTTCCCTCTGCTTGGGATTCCCTTCCCTGCGAAGTAAAATTCTACCCATTTTTTAAGGCCATCATTCCCAATGAAGCTTACACCCTAAGTCCTGGCCCCCAATACACACAAAAAGCCTCCACTTCTCTGCTCTTGTGGTTGTGCTTCCACTTTTTTAAACAGCCAGTTCACAGCATACCCCTTAATCATAAGCACCTTGAAGGCAAGCTCTGTATCTTCATTTATCTACCTCAAACATCTAGCACAGTAACACATAATCTAACAGGAGCTGGAGAAGTAAATGCTAGAGTAGTAACAGGATTATCAAAGAGCTGCAAATAAATTAAACCACTGAAGATCAGAGTGTAAGCAAATAAGAATCCTTCCTGTAAAAGTGAAATGTTAAGTACCTGAGTGTAATCAAAAAAAGTCCCAAAGCTAAAGAAATAATTCCAAACTTGAATTATTGAATAAATGAAAATTGTAGTCAGTCTTTTCTATTCAACTTTAACTATGTTTACCTGATTAATAATAAATGGCCCTCGGAACATAACACAGCACAAATCTGATCTCAGAACTGTAACATCTTTTACAAAGCAAACATGTAAAGTATCTGATTTTAATTTTGAAGAATTTATATAGATCAAATGACTTGTAAAACTTGACCAACAGAGTACAGAGACAAACCTCTGCCTCCTTCCCCAACTATGAATGGAAATTTATTTTTAACACTGGCTAGGTATTTTGCAAATGAGTAATGAAAGCTGTTCACTTAAGAAGTACACAGACTTGGAAAAAATTCCTTGAGTTCCAGGAGTTTTCTATGAAATTGCCTACATGGCTGAGACAAATGGTAAACTATCCACTTTATTTTTAAGCTGGGTCATATCCCCAAAAATATTATTTCTGAGAATAATTTGCTTGAGACAAAGTGAAAAAAATTACATGATGTTTTTCCTTTTCAGGATATTAACTGTGTTAATTACTGTTTATAAATAAAAGTCAGGATTACAGCTTTAGTTTTCTGCCTGCTTATCCCCATGCTGGGATAAAACTGATTTTAACCTCTGGGACTGTCATTTTCACCTATGTGTCTGTTCACTCTGCCTTCAGACAATCTGCACAGACCACTATGGTAACCTCCTGCTCCTCCTTTGAACGCAACACTTATTCTGTGTACACACGTTTGGTTTTGCCTAACTTCTGTTGTGGAAGGGGCTGAAATCGGTCCTCATCTCACTGTGAGGTGGCTGTGTAATCCTAGGCAAGTCACATCACTTCCTCGTCCTTAAGCTCCTGTTGGTAAAGTTAGAACTTGATGAGCAGTGAATGGGCTAGAGGGGTCTGGTCTAGAGGGGTCGGCAAACTACAGCCTCTGGCTGCTGGTTTTTGTACAATCCTTGAGCTAAGAATGGTTTTTACATATTCAACGGGTTGTAACAAAACAAAACCAAAAATAAGCAATAGAGACACAAGTGGCCAGGAAGCCTAAAATGTTAACCCTTTGCTGGCCTTTTATGTAAGTTTTGGGTAGGACCCTTTAAATTGCAAGATACCAAGAATTATTATTTTATTTGGTTAACAAATAGCTAATAAGCATTTGCCCTGTGCCAAGTGCCATTGGACATATAAAAATCTACTAGTTGTGACCCTGCCCTCCAGATGATATACCCTAATCCTGCCTTCATTTCCACCAGCCCAGCTTCCTCCAGATCCTGACTACTCATTCAGTAGCAGTCTCCAGCCACCTATCTGATCTCTTTGCCTCAGTGCCTATTCAGAAGCCATCCATGGTAGTTCATCAGGCCCTCAGATTAGCTGTAGTAGAATTTTCTGGGGTATAGTTAGAAAAGCAGATTACAGATCCTGCCCCTTCTAATTCAGTACTCAGGATCCTGGGATTATCTATTTTATTAAACATCCCACAGGTCACTGTGATAGGAAGCCCAGCTTAAGAACCTCTGACTGATAGAATACAAAAAGAATTCAAGACCTAGCCCATCTACCCATCCACACATTTCTTCCCTTCATCCTCTCTGTGCATTATATTCTTTTGCCATACAGAATACATGATGTTTTCTGGAGCATACTAGGCTTTCTCATGACTATACAAGAGATCCCTGCTGTCTAGAACCCCCACCCCACAATATGCTTGATGACCTCTTATTCATCCTTCAAGGTCAGCTCAACATTTGCTCCTCTGCAAGGCTTGTTCCACCCACAACTTTGCTGAGCAGACTGAGCTCTTCTTCCCTGGAGCTCCCAGGTACCTCACGAGCAAATCCTTTAGCCAGGCTTTTACTGTAAAGGACCAGAGAGTACCTTCAGATTTGCAGGCCTTACTGTCTGTGTTGCAATTATTCAACTCAGTGTAGCATCAAGAGCAGCCACAAACAATACATATGTGATGTTTGTGGCTGAATTCCAGAAGTGGGTGCCAGACACATTTGGCCCAGGAGCTGTAGTTTGCCAACCTCTGCTTTAGAATACCCTTCAAACTTCATGCGCTTGACACGTGAGAGAGGTAAACAGGTCTAAATCTTCACGAATCTTCCCATTTATGAAACCACTGTAATCATGCATTCTCTACAGTTTCCTCATCTGTTCATAGCAGTAATATCTATGCTTTAGAGGACTGCTGCAAGGAATAAAGGAGATCATGTATCAAATGAGAATAAAAGTGTGTTGAGCTCCATTTGCTTGCCCAGCCAATGACTCACTCACTTCCCAATGTAGGTAATGGTATGTATTGTGCAGATTTGTGCCTGAGTATTAACCATTTAGATGCCACAGCCTCTCTGGGCACCTAGCACATGCATGTCAGAGCAGTGGTAGAGATGGCAATGACCTTGGGTGACCAGTGAGATGATCACTTAAAGCAGGGTTGGCAGGGGAGATTCATGGAAGAAGCAGAATTTTAAGAAGCATCTTGGTGTAGGTGGTGTATGGGCCATTGACTTTTTGAGTCAAGACTGATTAGGGTTAAAAATCCCAAAGCCCAACTTTGCCACTTTTCAGCTTTGTGATTTCAGGCAAATTAATAACTTTTCTAAACCTTTGTCATCTGAAAGTGGGGCTAACATATCACTTACAGAGTGAGGATTCTAGAGATTCAGTAAAATAATATGTGAAAAGTGCTTGGCCCATGGAAAGTACTTCATCAATATCAGCTTCTCTTCCCTTTGAAGGAGGGACGGGATTCTCACAAGCAATAATGGAGGAATGAAAACCCAACTGTGAGGAATGAGAGGAAGCAAGAAGAGTACAGCAGTAGAAACAAAGAGAGTATGTTCCAGACAGAACAAGCAAACCAGTTTGCTTAGAGGAAGGATCCACAAGAGAGCACAAAGGGTAGCAAAACTTAAAAGCCAGCCCACGACAGGGAGCAAAATATAAGCATTCTAACCACTGCCCCACAGAGCCTAGCAGAATGTGAGAGATTAGGAGATATTTACTGAGTTTGCCAAGTCTTACATACTCATAGAAGGTGCAAAACTATAAATATTCATAAATCTTTTTAAGGATCAAAGTCTAAAGTGGCCTAACTCAAACAAATTTCTTTTAACAAGGAAGACTGATACTTAGTAGTCAAGGCACTCAGAAGTTTGCTAAAAATGAAAGCAGCAATGAGTAGGAGGCTCTGAAACCCTTCCATCCTCACTCACGCCTAGTGCAATGCCTCGAAGCCCACGGGTGGGGCTTCAGAACTGGCAGGGATGGCTATGTCGTCACTCCCCACTCCCAAGTCACATTCTAGCAGTCTGAGCAAGCCTTGGTGGTGAATAACTTAGCTGAAAGTTACTTCATTCATGGAAGCAATACCAGGCCCAACCAGGACCACCAACCAGCCCCAAACTGCCACAAAGAACGTCTTCATACTTGGGATTCTTCTCCCCAGGGAGGGGTTGGTTGAGAACGGTGGGCTTGGATGGTGATGCCGGGATGACCTCCTGGGAGGAGTCGAGGCCTGTGCTCGGCTCAGTACTCTGGCTGTCCTCCTCCAAAACCAATCTGCTTATTGTCATGCGCTTGTTCTTGGGCTGCAGTTCAGAGCCACCCTCACCCTCAGTAGGGGCTGAACTTTCATTTTCATCTTTTCTTGGTCTCTTGTTTTTGAGGGCTGGTGATGGCAGAGACACTTGATTAGGAAGTACCAGATCTTTCTGGTCCAGTTTTGAGAAGGCTGCCTCAGAATCTTGTGCACTGGACAGAGTCTTGAAAGCTGCTTTCAGGGTCATAATTCCAATGGTGGTTGGGGTACTCCGTAACTGCCTACACATGAAGCAGATATACAAAGATCAGTCTCACCATTACTGATGCTCATCCAAACAGCCACAAGTTTTCCAAAGTGTGAAGCTTCAAATTAGAGGACTCCTCAAGTTGAGGACACTTCATTTGGGAAAAAAAAAAAAAAAACGTTGCTCAAAACAATCTTTAATTATAAAGCTTCCATTTATAAGCATAAATAGAGGCTTTATATGATATAGAAGTTGAACTCTGGAGTTTAAACTCCCAAGTAAGAGAACCTTAAAGGACTAGGGCCAATGACACTCCTCTTCCAAGAGACCTCCTTAGCCAGCATGCTAATCCCTTTAGTCTGCATGAACTATAGCAACTACGTCAGAACTGTGTATAGTGCCGAATAGCTACGAGTCTGTCTGGGCAACCAAATGACAATTCAGCAATCTCACCTTGAAGTCTAAACTCTTCTTCCAGCTCTCCAGTTCAACCCTCATGTGAAAGAAGGAAAAGACTGGTCTCCATTCTGCCCCCTTTCTCCTACAGTACACTTATAAATGGGATTTTGAGAATTGTCAGAGTTAGAAGTGTGCCAGTCTTGGAACAATGAGAAACTGCCTTTTCATAATAAAGTTAAGTTCAACTATGATTTGGAATAACTGGTATAATTAAATTAAAAACTGTTAGGAGAGGGCAAACTGGCACCCTACAAGCCAAACCCAGCTGACAGATATGTCTTGTTGCCTAACCTATGCAAGTTTTGTTTTCTTTAAATTGGACTAATTGTCTCCCCAAACTGGGAAAGGTCAAAAAACAAAACAAAAACAAAACTGGATGTCTCACATAAAAATTTGAACTGAAGTTTGGGCATCCTTGGACATTTCCACATTGCAACAATCACACAAAGCTGAAAAGCATGCCCTCTCTGGTTCACACTCACATGCTCTGAAATGCATTATCCTGTACTCCTGTACATTTTCTACTGGGCCCCCAAAGGCATCTAAACCTGTAACCCCTGCTTTAACAACTTGTCTTGGGAATCTGATTCACAAGTCTGAACAGTGCATTAAGAGATCAAGGACGTAATGAGTGAATATGGGCAAGGCAAGGACAGGACAACAGAGAAGGAAAGAACCTTTGAGGAACAACCAGTCAGGAACTTCTGTCAGGGATATGACATCGCATCTTCAATATTCTCATTTTCCCGAGGTGTGCTCTGTAACTCCCACACTGCCTTGTATAAGTCACCAAATAACATGTCAGTACTAGGAGAAACTAACTGATTCTACTCTAAGGAGACTGCTTCCAACAGACTACCCTTATGTTTCACCCAAGATCACAAAAGGGCATCCCTCTCACCTTGCAGGTTCTCTGAGTGGCTTCTGCACAGGCTCTGGTGCTGGCTGTTTATCTTCCTTCACTGTACCTGAGGCGACAGTCTCAGATTTCAAAGCTTTTTTGGCCATCTGGGAAAAGAAGGATGTCATCAGGAAGAGGAAGTCACAGAGTTTCATTAAATCTCTTCTTTCACAAACGTACACACTCAACATGCAAACATGTTCACTTATAAATCCACTCAAGGCATAAACTAGAGGAGGACATACAAAGGGAAAGAATTCACAAGAACTATCTCAAATGTCTTGCTTTTTTCTTTCCTCAAAAGATGGCTCCCAATTTTCTATACTAAAGGAGAACTCAATTTGAGTGGTGCTGACCATCTTGACACTGCAAGAATTCAACCTTTTGGACAACAAACAAGTATGTGATTTGACTCTACTTCCTCTTCCATTCTTCCAATCTCATCTCTAATCTAGTTTCTGAATGCCAAATATACTTTTGGGGTCATGGACAAAAGTCAAACTTTTTTTTCCAAACTTGGGGTAACTAATGCTTATATTAATATCTTTTACTTTGTGTATAAATTTTTTTATAAAACATATTTCACAAATATGTTTTTCCTATTAACTCTGAAAATCCTTACTTATACCACATAAAGCCCTGAGTGGGCCAATCCTGCTCTAACAACAACTGCCCATTTGTCTCCCTCTGACTGAAGTTTTATACATTTCCAATTAGTCTAGTATCATTCTGTTTCAGATATGCATATCTGTAACAAGTGGTGTCTTAAGAACTGAGAGTTCTAAGGGTGTCTGGCTGGTCAGTCAGTAGAGCGTGTGACTCTTGATCTCAGGTCATGAGTTCAAAACCCATGTTGGGCGTGGAGCCTACTTAAAAAAAAAAAAAAAAGGGGGCAGTGCCTGGATGGCTCAATCATCTGAGCGTTTGACTCTTGATTTCGGCACAGGTCATGATTTCATGGTCCTGGGATCACGCAGGCTTTGCGCTGGGCATGGAGCCTGCTTGGGATTCTCTCTCTCTCCCTCTGCCCCTCCCCCACTTGCACATGCTCTCAGAAAAGAAAAAAAAGAAAAGCTTGGTCCCCAGCCTCACCAACAGTAGAAGGTTATTTTTCCAGTTATCTGGAATACAAAATAAAGGACCCCAGGCCAGGCTCAAGTATCCTGACACTTGCTCCCTGAATATTCCAAACTATCTGCTGGCTTTGCTAGATAATTTCCACATCTGCCGTCGACTGCTAGTGGACACCTAACACCACTAATATGGGCCTGGCAGATCTACTGTTATGAGCTAAGATATTTTCTTTCTTTCTTTCTTTTCTTTTTTTTATAAATTTTTTTTTTCAACGTTTATTTATTTTTTTTTGGGACAGAGAGAGACAGAGCATGAATGGGGGAGGGGCAGAGAGGGAGACAGGAATCGAAATAGGCTCCAGGCCTCTGGAGCCATGAGCCCGACAAGGGGCCTCGAACCACGGACCCATAGATCGCGACCTGGCGCTGAAGTCGACGCTAACCCACTGAAGCGCCACCCAGGCGCCCCTCTTTCTTTCAAGATTTTACTTTTAACTAATTTCTACACTCAATATGGGGCTTGAACTCACAGCCCCAAGATCAAGAGTCATGTGCTCTATTGACTGAATCAGCCAGCCTCCCTGAGCTAAGATATTCTCAGATGTTGGTGATTTAAAACCAAAATCAAACCAAAACAAAACCCTCTCACTCAGTTTTCCAATATCACAGGCCACCCTATAGGACACACTAGGTTCTTATTCTTCCACATGCTGTCCTGACCCTCACTGCTGCCATTCTTTATGCTGATCACTTTGATCCAATTAAAGAACGTCTTCATTTAGTTTATGCCTTATCATACTTCTCATCACACCTTTCTTCTCCAGTTATTCCTTCCTCCTAATAACCCTACTATACTGTATCTACCAAACCACTCTTGCTCCCGAACTGAACTCAAATTTCATCTCCTTTGGGAACCACCACTCATTTCAAGTGTTCCCCTACTTTAACCACAACAGATTAATCACATGTAGGAGGTATAAATGGAAGGTGAAGGAAACCAGGTACGTTCCATGTACCTCTGTCAGAATCTCCGCTTCTGTATATTTAAGGCATTTAATTAAGGAAGACAGTGCATATAAATCAAAAGTCTTTTACACACATTTACTCTTTTCACTTCTAAAAAGAGCTGTCCTTTTCTAATTGCCTGCACATCCTCAAGGCCACATCACAGTTACGGGAAGAGAAGGCCAAGCCCCACCGTGAGGAGGTAGGGCTCTGCGTCATCCAGGTGACTCTCCAGGAAGCGCAGCATCTTCTGCTGGAAGGTCTCATAGGAAAAGTTCTGGATAACAGGGTGGGCCAAGTTCTTCTCACGGATAATGTTCAGGAGATCATTTCTCAGCTTCTACACAAAGGACCGATATTTGCAACATAAGAAAGGAGAACTCTAGTAAAAATTCAGTGATGGTGAGTTGAGACAACACTATCGACTTTCAAATGCTGTCAATGGCCATGAGTGTTCATATATAGGAAGGGGAGCCTACCATAAAGAACAGGGCAATAAATTATGGATCAGCCATAATGGGTTAGTATGTAGCTATAAAAAAATACGAAGAACTTAGGATCTAAAGTACCTTTACACATTTACATAAAGATTTTTAAACTTAAGGAAAAAAAGGATGAAGAAGCTCCTTACGTGCTAATATAGAATGACCTTCAAGATATATTAAGTGAAAAAAGCAATTTACAAAATGCTCAAATTAGTGTGTAGAATATGCTCACAGGTATATATGGGAAGAGCAGGAAGAATGGATATATGTATGTATCTCTGTATACACACACATAGGCTTGTTTGCTTGCATATGCATAGGCTAGACTATCTCTGAAAGGATAAAAGAAAAAAAAAAAACACTGGTTGTCTATGAGGAGATGAATGAAGTGGCTAAGTCAAGAGATAAGAGAATTTTCACTAAGCTCTTTTGTTGTACTTTTTGAATTTTATTATGTACATGTATTACCTTTTCAAAAACTAAAATTTAGATTTACAAAGGAAAGAAAAAAAAAAAAGAGCAGGGCACCAACAGAGCTTTTGACACCAGAAAATAGAGGAGTTAAGTCCTCACCAAGGCTGGTTCTCAAGTCTGCAGAATCAGCATTTATGTAAATAAAGTTAGGAGCGTTACCCGAAGTTGATAGCTTAATACCTGGTGCTGATCACTTAAATAAAGTTCTGCCACAAACCAGACAGAAATGGGCAAGAAAATAATTTAGGTAAATTTGTACAATACAAAATAAATTTTGAAAAGTCAATCTCACAATGTTTTTATCCCGTATATAAAAGACAACATGCTAAGGATGCCAAATATTTAAATTACATTCCTGACAAAGAACCCTTTCCCTGTTTCCCCACAAAAAACAATGAGACGGATTTAAGTCAGGGAAGCAAAAGTATATCAAATTTACCTGAGTTGTGGGGTCCTTGGACATATGTTTTTTCAAAATTTTTGAAGCCTTTTCAAATTCTTTGTTTTTGATACAAATAATGACAGCCTACAAAAGGGGAAAAAAACCTTTTTTTTTTTAACTGTTGTAATAATGACAGGAGTAATCAGAAAATCAGGTACTAAAATAAACTACTAAAAAGTAAAAGTGAGCCTTATTTACCCAAGAAATTTTTCACAATCTATCAAATTCCTGTACTTAAAAACTAACAGTCACTGCTCAGGCATTATGAACAACTGTAAGCACTCTTCTTTCATTGTGTAGGGTAGTAGATTTTCAACATTACACTGGATTTTTAAAAAATAGCTGATAAAGCAAAATCTGATCCTCTGGATTACAGACCATTTACCCAAATTGAATAGGGCCTCCCAAGGAAAAGCAAAATGGACAGGAGTCATTCCAGGTCCCCAGAACAATTGGATCTGTTCTTTTTGGATGCAAAGCTTTGATATAATGATGGGGACAGAGTGGGGATGATAGACTGTTGGGGGGGAAAAAGCCATTTGCTGACCATAGGGTTCGGCTCTCCATTCAGGAAAGGCCTGAGGCCATTTCTGTAGGAGAACCAACACAGCCTCTCACTACCGTAAAACCCCAGCTGGCAACTCCAGTTAAAAGTGTACAGGAAATTACTGAGATGAACAAATCCAATGCATCCACATGTAACACACAAAAGGGGCAAAATTCCCGGCAGAATGAAAAAGTCTCATCAGCTACAGAGCAAAAGAAGAGTCCTTTCATAAAGAAACCCCAAGAAAAGATATGCAGAGGTAAAATGACAGTGATCAAAAATTTTTAGGGATTTTTTTTTTTTAGATTTTATTTTTTAAGTAATCTTTACACCCAATGTGGGGCTCAAATTCACAACCCCGAGATCAAAAGTCACATGCTCCACTGACTGAGCTAGCCAGGCACCCCAAGGGATATTTTAAAAATATATGTGTACATTTTTTTTTTTTTTTTTTTTAATTAGAAAAGCCAGGGGAAAGTTGGGAGCATTTGGAGTTATCTTACAGAATAAAGTAGCTACTCTAAATCCTGTGTCAAAGAGAGGTATAAGAAACATATTACACACACACACACACACACACACACACACACACACACACACACGGTAAGGAAAACTCGTCCACAGATATTTTCAATCTTCATTTCAGAGAAAAACTGAAGGAGATACAGATGAAGAGAAGGAGGAATAGCAAGGGGATTTCAGTATTAATCTCTGGTGATTCTGTCCTCAGCATACAAAGGAAACTGTATACATATACATATACTATATACATACAAATTCAAATGCTCTTGAATAGCAGGCACAACCATATATAAATTCTTGCTGCCCAAGGAAGGTACAAAGTAGGTCTTTTCATTTCAGTCATGACCACATTTGCTTTTACATCATTTTCCGCAGAATAACTATACTTATACTGAACTTTCTTGAAGAATTCAAAGGTTTTACTTTGTATAAAATCATTTAGATCCTATCATGTTTTTAAATTTTATTTAACATGCATACGGTAAAATGAACTTTTTGGGGGGTGTAGTGTTCTTAATTTAAAAACACCTACTGAATCCTGTAATGACCACAGAGGACACAAAAACCATGGATCCAAAAACCTCCCTTGTGCTACTTTTCTAGTCACCCCTCCCCATCCCTGACCCCTGGCAACCAATGATCTTCTCAGTTTCATCTTTCCAAGAATGTCATAAATGGGTCGGGGGTGGGCTAGATGGGTGATGGGTATTAAAATGGGCACTTGTGATGAGCACTGGATGTTGTATGTAAGTGATGAATCAATGAATTCTACTGAAACCAATATTGTCTGGTATGTTAACTAAAATTTAATTAAAAAAAAAAGTCATATAAATCGACTCATACAGTATGTGGCACTTATTTTTTAGAGGCTGTAGCCCTGAGACTGGCTTCTTTCCCTCTGTATAAATGCCTCTGAGATCCATCTATGTTGTTATAACATCTATATAGTTTTTTTCTTTCTTATGGCTGAGTAGTATTCCATTGTATGAATTTATTGTAGTCCTCCCTCCCCTTTCCTCTACATACTTACCTATAAAGTCTAATTTATAAATTAGGCACAGTAAGAGATTAACAACAATAAATGAGAACTGTAACAATATACTATAGTAAAAGTTATGTGAATGTGGTCTCTCAAAATATCTTATTGTACTGTATTCACCCTTCTTGTGATGTGAAATGGTAAGATGCCTATGTGAGGACATGAAATGAGGTGAATGATGTAAGTATCAAGACTTAGCCGTAGGCTACTACTGGCTTTCTGCCTTTTGACTATGTCAGGAGGATCATCTGCTTCCCAACCACAGTTGCCTGTGGGTAACGGAACTGCAGAAAGTGAAACTATGGATACGGGTGGGGGGGGGCTACTGTACTACATTTTGTTTATCCATTCACCTGCTGAAGGATATTTGGGTTGTCTGCAAATTTTGGTGATTATGAATAGATGCTAAAACCTTCATGTACAAGTTTTGGGGTAAACATAACATTTCTCTAAAGTAAATAACCACAAGTGGGATTGCTGGGTCATACAGAAAATGTATGTTTAACTTTATATGAGAAATGGCTAAACTGTTTTCCTGAGTGGGTATACCATTCTGCACTCCTGTTGGCAATGTGTGAGAGTTCCAGTTGCTCCACATCATTAGTGTATTTTTTGAAGTTGAGCTATTCTAATAGTATGTCCTGTATTCACTGATTTTAATTGGTATTTCTCTATTGACTAAATGATGTTGAACATCTTTTCATGTGTTTATGTGCCATTTGTACATTCTCTTTGAGGAGACTTTTGCCCATTTTTTAAATGGTGCTTTTTTTTTTTTTTTTTTTTTTTTTTTTTTTTTTTTTTTTTTTTTTTTTTGAGGCTTCTTTATATATTTTGAACACAAGTCCTTTGTCAGATAGTGATTTGTAAATATTCCAGTCTGTGGCTTGTCTTCATTCTCTTAAGTGTTTTGCTTGGAAAAAAAGTTTTAAATTCTTGTTAAGTCCAATTTACCAGTATTTCCTCTTATCAAAATTTCCTCTTAGCCCTGTGTCGGGCTCTGCACTTACAGCACAGGGCCTGCTTGGGATTCTCTTTCATTCTCTCTCTCTACCCCTCCCCCACTTGCACGGGTGCTCTCTCAAAATAAAGTTAAAAAAAAATTTTTTTTTTAATGTTTATTTATTTTGAGAGACAGAGTGCGAATAGGGGAGGGGCAGAGAGAGAGAGGGAGACACAAGAATCCCAAGCAGGCTCCAGGCTCCGAGCTGTCAGCACAGAGCCCAACATGGGGCTCGAACCCACGAACCATGAGATTATGACCTGAGCTGAAGTCAGACACTTAACCAGCTGAGCCACCCAGGTGCCCCGAAATAAATATAGTTAAAAAAAAATTCCTCTTATGTATCATGCTCAGTGTCATAGCTAAGAATTTTTGTCTGAGTCCAAGACATAAAGATTTTCTTTCATGTTCTCCTCTAAGTTTTACAGCTTTACATTTTGCATTTATTTTAATTTTTTTATTTTGAGAGAGAGTGTATGCACATGAGTGGGGGAGAGGGGCAGAGGTTGAGAGTGAGAGAATCTTAAATAGGCTCTGCGCTCAGCACAGCTGGGCTCAATCCCAGGACCCTGGGATCCTGACCTGAGCTGAAATCAAGAGTTGGTTGCTCAACTGACTGAACTACCCAGGTACCTACATTTTACATTTAGATTATTTTGAATTAATTTTTGTAAGTTTTAGGTCAAGGTTCACTTTTTGCATGTGGACATCCAGCTGTTTCGTATCATTTGTTGAAGACTATCCTTTTCCGTTGAATACCTTTTCCATTGCATTTCTTTCAAATTTTTGTCAAAAATGAAGGTTATATTTGTATAGGCCTATTTCTGGACTCTTGTTCCATTAACCTATGTTTATAGTCCTGAGCAGCTTTATAGTAAGTCTTAAAATTGTGTAGTGAGTCCTCCACTTTGTTCTTCTTTTACAAAATTGTTTTGGTTATTTAGTACTATAGTCATTGGGGTCTTCATTCCATTGCCTGGAGAGAACTGACCTCTTAACTATATTGTCTTCCAGTCCATGAACGTGGTGTGCCTTTTTATGTATTAGGTCTTGATTTCTCTCATTAGCATTTTGTGTTTTTCCACATAAAGATCCTACCCATGTTTTACTAGACATATACTTAAGTATTTATTTTTCTTCTTTTTGGGAGCTATTATAAATGGCACTGTTTTGATAATTTCAAGTCATTCACTGCTAATATATACTGGACATATGAATAATTTTTGTATGTTGATTTTATATCCTCCAATCTTGCTATACTTACTTATAGACTTTTTAGTATATTGTATGGGATTTTCCATATAGACAGTCATACCATCTGCAAATAGGGACAGTTTTTTTCCTTCCTTTCCAGTCTGTTATCTTTTATTTCTTTTTCTTGACTTACTGCACTGGCTAGGTCTTCCAGTATAACATGGAATGGAAACAGTGAGAATGGACATCCTTGCCTTGTTTTGGATTATAAGCACAAAGCATTCTATCCTCCACCATCTAGGATGATGTTAGCTATAGGTTTTCCGTAGATGTCTTTTATCAGGTTGAGAAAGTTCTATTCCTAGTTTGCTGAGTGTTCTTATCAGGAACTAATGAATTTTGTTAAATGCCTTTTCTGCATCAATTGAAAGATCATATGTTTTATTCTTCTTTAGACTAATAGAGTGGAGTACACTGATTGATTTTCAAGTTTCAAACCAGCCTTGCATTCCTGGGGTTTAGTTTCCCCACTGTGCTATACACTGCATCTGCATCCACAGCAAGCAGCAGGATAGACAGTAAAGAAGCAGTGGAATTTGCTCTGCATTCTAGGGATTACAGCTCCACTGCTAAAAGAGAAAGGGTTCTCTTCCTTCAGTTTTAGGTGCCAGCCCTGCTGCCAGTGTCATCACTGGGCCACTGCTGCCACCAGTGCAGTATTGCCTGGGTGCTGGGGCAGGAGAGAAGGGAGAAAAAAAAGCCTGGGATTTTTCCCACCCTCCCTGACCCTCAGGAGATCTCTTTCTTGCTCCTCAGGCCAGAGAAAGCCTTTCTTGGAGTTCTTTCTCTTCCCACCTAGAGTGCACTTCTAGGTTTCGGGAGCCTTCAAGTCCAGGCTAGGTGGTAACAGAGAAGGAAAAAGTGGTCAGCTACTCATCACCAGTTGGTGGACCTTCAAATTCTCGTCTTCTTCCCCACCTGCTTACTATCATTTACATTTTTGAATTGTCAGATAGGTGCTCCACACAATCTGTCCAGGACTTAGACTTGCATTAAGTAAGACAGAAGAGAATATGGTTACTCTGTCTTTTCCAGAATTAGAACCAGGTCCTACTATATTTACTTTGTAAAATAAGAAAGGAAATGTGAATGCTTTCAAAATCTAAATTAAAAGTCTGCCTCCAACATTTGTGCTATGAGCTTATCTTTTAAATCTATTTTTAATTTCCTGGAAAGTTTTTTGTTTGTTTGTTTTAAAGAAATGAACTCTTGCTTTTTCACTTGAAAGTTTTCAGAAAGCAGTATAATTTCTTTGCTTATGTATATATCTCTACGGTTCTTAGGGTGTAAGCAATAGCAATGGTCTCTGGCTAACTTAAATAAAAAGGAAATTCCAAGCACAGATTTTCAATACAGGCAAGATGAGTTTATATTGGGCAACAGCGGGGGGGGGGGGGGGCGCGGGCAGTAAATCGCAGAAGGCACATAGAAAGAGAAAACCAAAACTCACAGAAGGGAAGAAAGGCTAAAGAAAAAAACTCAGAAAGAAACCAGGCTGTTGTGGGAAACAGGAATACTCAAAAAGCTCTGACAAAGCTTTTTATTTCAAAAATTAAGGTACTTAAAGAGTGTGTTTTATGCACCCAGCCCCCCCTCCTCCAAATTGGGTAAGGCCTCAAAAGAAAAAGTGCTGTTACCAAAGGTGCAGGGGAGAATGATACACAGCAAAAAGCAACAAATAAATGCTTTCCCAATAATATACCATACATGTTACTCTCTGCTGTTCTCCACAGAAACCTGAGGAATCTTTCAGTTATGAAGAGAAAACCAATTTAGCCTCAATACCATTAACAGCTTACAGAAGCAGTTCTCAAACTTTTTAGTCTCAGGATTCCTTTATACGTTTTTTTGTTTTAATCTTTATTTATTTTGAGAGAGAGACAGAGTGTGAGCAGGGAGGAGCCAAGAGAGAGGGAGACAGAATCCGAAGCAGACTCCAGGCCCTGAGCTGTCATCACAGAGCCTGACGCAGGGCTTGAACTCACAAACCGTGAGATCATAGCCTGAGCCAAAGTCGGACATTTAACCGACTGAGCCACCCAGGCGCCCCAGGATTCCTTTATACTTTTAAATGTTAATGAGGACCCCAAAGAACTTGTTTTTGTGGGTTATAGAAATATATTACAAATATAGAACAAAAATTTTAAATATTTATTAATTCATTAAAAACAACAAACTCATTGCAGGTTAATATAAATATCTTTATGAAAAATTACTGTATTTTCTAAGATAAAAGTCTAATGAGAAAGCTGGCCTTGTTTTACATTTTGGCAAATCTCCTTAATATCTGGCTTAATAGAAGAAAGTTGGATTCTCATATCTGCTTCTGCATTCATATTGATGTGATGTGTTGTTTTGGTTAAAATATACTAAAAAACTCCATCCTCACATAGATATGAAGTTGGAAAAGGGAGGAGTATTTTTAACAGACCTTTGAGAAAATTGTGGATAATCTTCTTTGATTCTACACCAAACTTGGGCAAGTGAACTTTTCATCATCTGTTACATTAAAATCTGTTAGTCTATCTTGCATTTTAAATGGCTCTTTTACCCATGAATGATTTTATAATATATTGCATTGGCCATTTGGAAAATATTTATTTACTGAATTATGTAGATCTTCCAAATGTTGACACATTCATTAAAAATACCTTGAAAATAACCAATATTAATAATCACCATCAATCTTATCAGAAAAATCTAAGATTTGGGAAGCTGTCAGGCACATCAATACCAGTTTTCTAGAATTTTAATTTTTACTTGAAAGCGTCAGTTTTTATCAATGGCAACAAATACTATCAGTGTTTTCTCTGAAGTGACAAATTCCCTTTGCTCTTTTACAAGAAAATGACTGCCAAATGCCCACACCTAAACAGCCAAAATGTGTCAGTTCTTTTCAGTTAAAAAAAAGAAAGGTGTTCATTCCATTAAAAAAGTGCTAGATCAGCATGCAACTCAAACAGTCACACAAGTGATTTCCTGAGGCCAACCATCAAGTTTTGGTATATGGCAGAAATGCTTTGAGCAAACTTCCTACTTTGTCATACAAAATACTGAAAAGATCTTTGCTCAAGGGTCTAGATTTAATAAAATTAATAATTTTACTGCTTTATCAGTGATCTTCTAAGTTGAAACTGGCTTTTATTTGTTATTTAAACTGCAAGAATGTGGCAATGAAAACTCCAAAGGCTACTCTACAGGTTACCACCACCTTAGTCATGCCAAGATACCAGCAATTTTACCCATCACTGCTTTTACACCATTAGTGCAGTCAATGCACAGAAAGTCAACTAATGTTTTGGCATTGTTTATGAAAATAGTTTTTTGATTCCTGAAGGGGTACCACAGACCTGTAGAAATGCCTACATCATACAATGAAAAGTTCTAACTTAACAAATAACCTATTTGATAAACTTGAACAAAAATTTAATAGACATTTAAATGAATGTTGTGAAACTTTACAAAAAGCTGAAAATGCATCAAAAAGCTTCAATGAGCCTAGGTACTCCATGGCATTTCCCCAAAGATGACCATTAACAGATTCTAGGAATCTAAATGAAAAAATTTTTAATAAGAAATTAGGAGGCAAGTGATACAGTATCACTGAATAAGAGTTCAAGGTAATTGTGGTAGCCAGCCTCTAAAATGCCCTGCAGTGATCCCCACACCCTGCACAGTCCCATTACACACTAATCCATAGTTGGTCTGGTCTGTGTGACCAACAGCATATGGCACAAGTGATGATACTTGTGAAATTAGGTTATAAAAGACTGCAGCTTTTGTCTTGGGCTCTTGTTCTCCTGGATCACTTGCTCTAAAGGAAGCAAGCCATCACACCGTAAACAGCCCTGCAGAGAGGCGAGGAGCTGAAGTCTCTACCTAACAACCAGCAAGGAAGTGAGTCCTGCTAACAACCAACCACGTGAGTGAGCATGAGAATAGATCCTTCAACCCCAGATGAGTCTTGAGATGATTGCAATCCTAGCGGACAGCCTGACTATAATCTCATGAGAGACCTCAAGCCAAAAGCACTCAGCTGAACCACTATCAGATTCCTGACTCTTGGAAAATGAGAGATCATATTAACTGTTTTAAGCTGCTAAATTTTGCGGTATTTGGTCCACAGCAATAACAGTTTAATACAGTGAGTATAACAAGAAATCTGGTACCTGATGGAAAATGGAAAAGAACAAGGTCAACATAAGAGTATGGTTGACAGTTTTAAGGTCATTTGCATTTCGCTAATAGATTTTTCCTAAGGAAGCCCCCAAATGTGATCTATAAACTTAAAAAAAATAATAATAAAACAACAAATATGCAGATGAAACCCACAAATACTCTTCCAGAAGAAGGGACAGAAATAAATCTATGTAGCTCTTGTGTTTTAAAGGAATTGCACTTCTGAATCTGCTACCTAACTTAACAGGAATTACATGAATTATTTTGAACTGGTACCATTTCTTCCTTTTTTTTTTTTTTAAAGATTTTATTTTTAAGTAATCTCTATACCCAACATGGGGCTCGAACTCACAACCCTGAGATCAAAAGTCTCATGCTCTACTGACTGAGCCAGCCAGGCACGCAATGGTGTACCATTTCTTCCCATTCAAAAGATCTTTAGCTATTCTGAAAGTAGGCATAGATTTCTCCTCCTTTGCTAATATGTCTTCTCTGACATTGTCCCTCCATCACAAACTTGACTTACCTATACTAAAAATCTATTCTTGGAATTATTCCTCTTTGGAATTTGGATTCTCTGAGCATTCTCTCCAAAACCAAAAGTAGCTCCTTAATTGAATAAATATCTGTACCTCACACACACTAGTTGTCTTTTTTAACAGGGTACCTAAGTACCCAGCACACAGCCAAAGGACAGAAAGTCTTCCTTGCTTAAGCAAAGTTTTATCTCCACACCCTTACCTGAGATCCTATGTTTTAAGGATCCTTTTCTTAACAGTTTCCTTACTTTCCACCACCAAGGCAATGCTCAGCTGTTAATTCTTCACTCCCCACCTCCACATCTGCTTCCACCACCACCACCCCCCCGCCCGCAGCCTTGGTTTTTTTCTGACGGGTTTCCACTGCCTGTTGTGTTTTAAGTAAGTTCTACTATCTGAAGCTAGCTGAGCCATGACACACACACTCAAGTTCCTAGATACCCCAGTAGGTTTTTCCTTGTTAAGAACACTGGCTATGCCAGCCTTCTACCATTACTGGTTTTCTAACTGGCTGATTATCCCAGCACCTTTGATTCTGTTTGTTCAAAGGCAATGTTCCTCTTCAAAGTCAGTCCCACATTTCTCAAGGCCCCAGTTATCCTCTTTGGTTTATTATAAACAAGGATGACCAAATCCTAGGCCTGTTACTTCTAGCCCTTTCATGATGCTCCTGAATGGTGTAATAACCTCCAAAATGTCAGTCTTCAATGCCAACCCATTTCCTTTGTATTGCCTCTTCTGCCAAGGCCACAAGGAAAGCAACCAAAATTACAAAAGCAGCGTACCTGCCATTAACACTTTCCAAGCCTGACCTGGGAAGGGGTCACCTGAAGAGATATAACATCTGTGTGTGTCTACATTTCAATATGTTCACTTGCTCTCTCCATCGTCACACAGAAAAGATAAGCATTGGTATGCTCAAAGACATCTGATTTTTGTCAAAAGAAAAAAAAGAAATAAATACAGAGCCTTACAGCTTCCTTGACCAGTTTTCTACTGGATTCCACCACTGCCTCTGTCAGTGTAAATTCCGTTTTAATCATCTCCAGCACATTGATAGCTGATTCCAGTGGTGTGAGCTCAGCCTCCATATCAAAGGAACAGTCTAGGACAAAGAGCACAGTTTTCGCTTTAAGAGATTTTATAAGAAGCAGAAACAACATGTCCAAAATACATGTTTATCTGAAAAGACACATGTAAATATGGTAACATTTGCATTTAACTTGCTAACAGATTGGCTACAAGCTTACAAACATATTAAGAGTTCAAATTCAAGCCAATGAATTTGAAGTGACTATTTTTTAATTTTCAAGACAGGTAAAAATTTATTTTTTAACCCATGTATTTGCATCTCAAATTTCAGGGTACACACATCCTCCTCAGATACAAGCGACCAGAAACTGGAGACAGTTTTGCTAACAGCTCTCAAGTTCAATTAAAAAAAAAAAAAAAAAA